TTTAGAATGAATGTCATTCTAGGCTTTTTTGTTCATTGTTAGCACAGTGGGAAAGGTCTTCTTTCCACATTTACTGGGACTAGAAATACATGGTCAAGAGGAGAAACCATTCTCAACCATATGTGTCAAAACCTTCAAATGTTATATTTTGTTCTGTCCAAGACTTGTTGTTTGTAATTATACACTGAGGAAATCATTAGGAGTGAACAAAAATTTCGCTGATAGTGAAAACTGTGATGAAACAGGACTTAGAATAAATTATAATTTGACACTGAGATGATTCCCTAGGAATACATTTAATGACATGACTCATGACGTTCAGTGGAACAGGCCAATGACAGCAGAAGAACCCCATTTTGGTGTGTATAAAAAGGCTTGGGAGGCCGTATACCTGTATGCTATTATTATTGACTGTCTCTAGGAGTTGAAATGATGTTTTCCCCTGTTTTATTGTTTCTGAACTCTATTATTTAAAGAATGTGTACTAGTTGTATGCTTGTAAAGGAAACAAAAATGGAAATATTAACAGACATTATCTCTATATCCAGTGGTTTAAAATTTTTCCTACAGTAAACCCTGTCCTGTTTTGTATCTATTCCCTTCGCCCCTCAGTGAAGATGACCTCTTTGAATACTAAGTCAACTGTGTGGTTCGTGAGTTATCTACTGAGCATGAATGTTTAATAATGGCCAGGAGATAATGCCAGAGAAAGCACAGTCCCTGCTTCTAGTTCAGGGACTGTGAGTTTGTAAAACGGTGCAGATATTTCAACACTGAATTGAACGCAAGCTTCAGGGTTAATTAGCAATGCTTCAAATTACAGACTACCGCTACTTTTTGTGCAACTAACCGCTAATTAGCTATGCAAATGAGAAATCAGGACATGATTACGGGAAAAGAGAAAAAGACTCATTTTAGGCCTGAATTTCAGCCACTGATTGCTAAAACAAAACTGAGCAGAAAGAGGCAAAGTATACTTTCCCCTGAAGCTGAGGTACTAATAAAACAGTATTACTTAGATGTTTGCTTTCTCTTGAGACAAATCTGAAAAGTCCTATCAAAATATAATAACAAAATGACCAACATGTAAAGAACAGAAAACTAGGGGTAAAAGTGTGCTCGGTGATTGCAATGCAATCCCCAGGGGAGGTTTTAAAGGCCACTTAGAGTTTGCCCTCTAAACCAGCTTAGTCTGGAGTCTCCGTGAAAGGGGCTGAGCCAAACAATGAACAAGGTGCCTGCTTCTTCTCCAGCTGCTTTCCGGTGCTGGGAGTATTTGCTTTCAGGTAAAGCCTCTGATTAGATAAAGCCAGGAAAAGAAACCTGGTATCTTTCACTCTTCCCCTAATAGTTCCCCCTGCTGATATCTGGGTGATTATCTCAGAAGAAAACTCTACAGGGGAGTATAGCTACACAAACACAATCTACCTAGTACTACGATAGGTGATTGTGTTAAAAAGAATAAATCACTGAAGCTGGCAAGACGGCTCAGTGAGTAAAGGCGCACGCTGCCAGCCAGGTGATCTGAATTTGCCTGTTCAATCCCTGGGACCCACATGGAAAGAAAGAACTCACCACTGTGACCTCAACGCTCACTTTGGCATTATCTACACCACACACAGTGAGAGAGAGAGAGAGAGAGAGAGAGAGAGAGAGAGAGAGAGAGAGAGAGAGAGAGAGAGAGAGAGAGAGACTTTCAAGGTAGCTCATGGGTGGAAATGGCAGCTACTCAGAAGCTCCAGACACCGGGCGCCGCTTGGAACTTGCCTGTTCGTTTGCTTTCCAGATTTGAGCAGTCTCTTAATTGCTTTCTCTTCCATTACTGTTTACCTTCTAGTGTTGATCTGAATGAAAACATGCTTCTGTTGTCTCACAGTATTGGATCTGATTGTAGGCACACTTTTGTTAATTGCATTTTAGTATTATGTCTTATCCCTGTGTTCTGAGACTTTTTTTCTTTTTAAAATAATGGTCTCTCTGTGTAGCTCAGGCTGTTTTGGAACCTATAATCCTCCTTCCTCAACCTCCTAAGTCCTGGAATTACAGATGTGTGTCACCATGCCTGGCTTATGAGAAATTGAAAAATGCTCTGTGACATGGGTTTTCTGTTTAGGCAGCAAATTCCTTCATGGAGATGCACTCCCTGGGGATGTAACCGCCTGCCCTGGTTTAGCTCCCACCACTACTTTGCCTTTCTTTTTCTTCTTCTATTACTGATCAGAAAACAAGACCAGTCAACAACATGGTGTGTTCATACAGGATAGTGCCTTTTAGTGATGTGTGGGATTGTATCCCATAATTTCTTAGAGCCCCATGTGATCGCTATGGTTACTGAGCCTTTCTCCCTTTCTTACTATTCGCTTCTCCAATTTGTGTATCCAGCACTTTCTTCATGAGTAATGATATTCCTTTTCTTCCCTTTACCTAAATAATACTCCTCCAAACTCTAAAAGTTTATTTCATTAGTAAGTTTCTATGGAAGATTAATCATTTTAGTATCTAATTTGTACTATTTACATATGCTATGCTAAGAATCTAAAGCATCATTATTTAACATTATGGCAACATGACAACTCTAAAAGGCAAATGCTATTATGGTCTCATTTTATAATAAGCTAAATCAAACAAACAAAAACAAAACAACCTGTTTCTAAGTAACTTGTCCAAGTATCCCACAGCTCGCAAGTTGCAAAGCTGCATTCTGAACCCAAGGCTTCCTTCTTCTAAACTATTCTAAATATTATTATCTGACATCCATGTTTATTTAAAACTTTAAGTATCACATTTAACATCATGTCACAGTAGGTTTCTCTTGGCTGTAAATTTTTCTAAACTTTCCTTATTTTCTCTTATTTTTTTTTTTTAAAGACTACACGTCACTCTGTCATCAGGCACTACAGAATAGCTGTCGTGATTGACTGGGCATTTCCATGTGTGTTTCTGACCCACACAGCACTCCTCCCAGGCAGACATCATACTCTTCAGTCTGAAACATGAAAACCAAGGCTTAGAGAGCAAGAAACAGTGATCCAACCCAGAGCGACCAGTTGGTTCATCAGGATAAGTAACCAGAGCTATCGGATGAATTTTCTGCTCTTGTTACTACTGTAGTCTAAATAGCTTACATCTGTGTGTTCCTTAGAGTAAATTGGATGCCAATAGAAGAGTGAGCAGGCCACAAAGAAAGGGCATTCCTGGTCCAACTCTTCCCAATTTTCTTTCATTCTATTCCTCTGTGTCTCTTTTTTCCTTTCTTCCTCCCTTTCTTCCTTCTTCCACTTCTTCCTTCCTTCCTTTCTTTCTTTCTCTTTCTTTCTTTCTTTCTTTCTTTCTTTCTTTCTTTCTTTTTTTCTTTCTTTCTTTCTTGTTGCATATGGCAGCCTAGGGTTAACCTGGAAATCACGGTGTTCCTCAAACTCCTGAGTCCCTGAATCGTAGGTGCGAGTCACCACATTTAGCCCAACTCTTACCCAAATGCCTACTGATTCCCTAACAAAACACTGTAAGTCAAAAGTCACCAGAGTAGTTTTTTTACTGTCTGGGAGATGAGCTAACCAAACAGTTCTGGTCATTAGAAAATGTGTTCTTTAAATGATGGCTTTTGATCTTCACGTGCGTTTAGGGAGTCAAATGCAAGCCTCTGAGAACCCTGCCATTGATATTATGTGTCTGAGTGACTTATTTACTTACTTACTTATTTGAGACAAAATCTCACTTTGTTGCTCGGGCTGCCCTGGAGCTCACTATGTACCACAGCAGTCCTATTTCAGAGTCCTGAGTGCAGGGACTACAGGTGTGAGCCACCCATGACTGGCTCCTCTCAGCATCTTAATGAAGACACTTTAAGGCACAGTGACTGCTGATGTGGAATATTATTTTAAGATGTGTTGCATTTGTTTGTGCTGTGGAGTATTTGCTTAACGATGCAAAGATGTGCTGCATTCTTTTATGTTGCATTTGTTTAACTATGTGAAGATATGTTACTATTCCTGCCTAAAACATTTGATTGGTCTAATAAAGAGCTGAACGGCCCATAGCTAGACAGGAGAGAGAAATAGGCGGGATTGTTAGGCAGAGAGAATAAATAGAAGGAAGAAGAAGGGGTACAGAGAAAAGAGGAGAGGAGGATGCCAGGGGCTAGCCACCCAGCTACACAACTAGCCATGGAGTAAGAAGAAAGGAAAACAATATAGAAGAGGGAAAGGTAAAAGCCCAGAAACAGAAGGTAGATGGAATAATTTAAGAAAAACTGGCTAGAAACAAGCCAAGCTAAAGCCAGGCATTCACAAGTAAGAATAAGTCTTTGTGTGTTTATTTGGGAGCTGGGTGGCCGGCCCTTCAAGAGTAATTCAAGAGTAAAGAGTAAAACAACCAGCTACAGACTGTAGTGTCCTTCAGTAGCAAGTCTCTACGGTATATTACAGTAATGTGTGTCCTCTGCTGACCCAATCTGCTGTCAGAAGGCGCTTGTGAGCACCTTCATCCTCCCCCTTCCCTCCCCACCACAGTATGTGTCCGTCTCTTAAGTTCCAAAAGATGCCAGCTCTGACACGTCTTCCAACCCTTTACTCAGACAACCCTTTACAGAAAACCCCTTGAGACATTAGTTTGAAAGGTGAGTCAAACTGAGGGGAATGTTTTTGTGAGTTTGACAAACAACTTAAACTGAAACGCAGTGAACCACGGACAGAAGAGACAGCTCCTTTCTGCCTGATTCCTACCCCCTCCCCACCCACACACACCACCACAGCAGGAGCCCCGCTGTGATCTGCCGGGCGCGTGGGGTGGGGCAGGAGGATGCCAGCGGCGGGGCGGGCTCCCGGGCTCCTGGGTTGCCTCGTCAAGCCTGCCATCCAGGCTGAGACTGCTCAGCGACATCGAAGAGCGGTTCGCCCTCGAGCCTGCCCTGCCCACTCACTCACTGGTCGCTAGCCCTAGAGGGAGGAAGCCGGCAGACAAGTTGGGAAATACTGCTGGGCTACATCGCCGCCGTCAGCACCATGGACAACGCAATCGGGCAGCCCCCGGCGCGTCTGGATGCCGCTGGCTTCTGGCAGGTCTGGCAACACTTCGACAGGGAAGGTGAGTCGCTTTGGCTACTTGAACGCTTAGCTTAGTCACTAAGGGAAATGGAACTTCAACTAATTTCCCTGCGGAAAAAGTTGCCTACTGCGTGCCTCATAGAGTACACGCAGAGCAGTCGGCTTATTTTACTGGTTGTATACATGAATAACGCTTCTGAAAGTTCTGTGTGGGTTGAGGGGTTTTGCTTTCCAACCCGTGGAAATCATACCAACCCGTGCATATCATCATAGCGATATGCAATTAATATGTTAACAAATATAACTGCAGACGTATTCTAGGCTGTTGGGCCAAGACTCAGCAATCCCTGGTGCTTCTGTAAATGTGACAAGTTTTCATTAGTGGCTGTCATATTACCCATTTTCCACTTCCTACAAAGGAGGATGAATTTTAGCAGCATTCAGATTTTCCTTCCCCTCTACCTCAAAACATTCTTGAAAATGAAACCTATCTGCGTATCATTTGGTTTTTGTTTCATTAGTAATTAGAGAAACACAAAGACGATATCTGAAAGGTGTGTTTACACACAGAAGCTAGGATTCAGTATTCACCCTATCAAGATATTATTGGGCAGCTATTGAAATAACAACAGCAACAAGTGTGGGCTAGAGAGATGCCTCGGCCGTGAATTCCGCATACTGCTTTTTCAGAAGACCCAGATTTGGTACTAGCACCTATGTTGGGCGGCTCACAACTATCTGTAACCCACCTCCAGGGGATCCGATGCTCACCTTTGGTTTCAGGGCACAGACACTGATTTGCACGGCTGGCTGATACACCGACACACACACAAAATAAATACAAACCTTAAAAAACAACTTAAGAAGCATGCATATGCAATATAAAAACCCTGACTAAACCCAAATCTGAGTGACCAGGTGTGGTGGCGCATGCCTATGATCCCAGCACTTGGGAGGTGGAGGCAGGGGAATCAGGAGTTCAAAGTCATTTACAACTACATAGCAAATCTGTGGCCAGCCTGGGATCTACGAGGCACTGTTTCGAGCCTTCCTCACACCTACAGTATTCTTTAAGACAAACACTGTCACATTTATTCTGTATTGGTGACTGTTATTTATGTTTATCTTCTTGCATTAGAAAAAGGTTACATAAGGAAGACAGAGCTGGATGCCTTCTTCGACCATTTGCTGGCAAAATCTGGCACGGAGGTAAGTACTCACAGCCCAGGGCACTCTAGTATGTGTCTCTCAGCAAAATGCAAGCTGCAGAGTCCCGTGCTGATTTGAACCTATAATCCCACCTGACCTCATTTCTTCTTTGCCTGTAGCATCTCTCCCTCTCCTAGCAACATAAAGAGATTTAGGCAGATGTTTTATAAAAGGCACCATCTTCCTAGGCATGCTGGCCACCGATTTTCATCGAAACATCTGTCGTGCAGTTAGAGTGCCTAACTTTGTGGACTCAATCAACTCTAATTTGAACGTTTCCTTGGTTACGTCTCTGCTAATGGATTTCAGCAAGCAGTAGGGTAGCTCTTAGACCTAAACCACAAAAGAATGGAGAATACATTATGAGCTATGAGCTTTAAGGTTCCATGTTTACTCATGGCAAACAAATCATTTTAAATCATTTCCCCATGATATGTTTGATTAAAAGGTTGTAGATGTCTCCTGAACTGCTAAACCAGAACAAAACCTACTACATTCTGAGAGTCAGATATGAATTTAAAGCAGTTTACCCAAATGGTAAATCTGGCCTAGAGAGATGTGGATCAATTCTAGACGGTTCCTCTACCAAAGGAGAGGAGAAAAATAACACAGAGACACCAAAGGCCAGGACAGTGTGTGGTTGATGTTCATTCAATGTGGAGAGAATTCCTTTGGGTGGGTGGTCATCACAGGAAGAAAGGGTCCAGTACCACTGTGTTTACATGAAGTGTTTATCTCTAGCTTTTAGTCTCTACCTGAAGGAGCATTGAGGCAATATGTGTAGATAGAGTCTAATCTTTATCTTAAACTCCAGACCTGTAGCTGGGAACAACATGCCATCGAAATACCCTAATTTGGACTTTAATGTCCATAAAGTGTGAATAACCATGTCTTACTCTTCCTGTGTCATGAGGAGCCAGCACAAGTGGAAAGAGCATTCTAGTAGCTAAAGCACCTGCTGTGCACATGCTCTCGCAGTGATGTGGTGTCTCCTTGGGATCATATCTTTCCCGGCCCTTATTATGCAACCCCTTTACCTAACAGTCACAAATGGGTACCGAAAATATATTTCTTAATTATTCAGAAGACTCTGAGATCTAAAACAAACTCTGGAGACTCCTAGCTTGTAGATTTGGAGACAAACCTTTGAACAAATTTTCCAAAGTTGCAGCAGGCCTTGGGCAGTATTGTAAGTCAAGTCCTCACTCACTGGTTCTGAGAGTGAAAAATGGCTCTCAAGGAGAGAAGGTGGCTTGCCAGTTGTCACCATGGGAACGCACAATATTTGCCCATTGTGACACTGCTTTGTCACTGCAGGCTTTGGTCTCAATTTAATAATGTCCCCTCTCACATCTTTCATTTGGTGTGGACTCACCTAGGAACATATTCAATTTTTTAAACAAGGCCCTTCACTATTTCTCATTTATAATCCTCAAATGAATACATTTGGTTGATGTATTTGCAGAATCAATCTGTCCAAGTCCACTTATTTTAATCATTACTTTAATCATTCTAAATATAAGGCCAAAGCCATCAGCCCAGCAGAAGGCTTTGGTGGGGCTACATAAACCCACCTCTCCATCTCCACAACTCCATTTTTAGACTTGTTGATCAACTTGCTCAAGATTAAACAGGGAAGGGGGAAATATTGATCAACTGACACAAAACTCAATGGCTCCCCACATTTCTGTTGTCCATGTCATGGAGACATGACCATGACCTTTGTTTTAAAGAGATTCCCGCAGAAAGGAATACTTTGACTCCTTTCAGAACACCCTGAGTCTTAAGGAACTTCCTTCCAAGATGAAAGATTTAATCTGGGTTACTGTGTAACACCACTCTGGTTTTTCCACACTACCAATGCCACTTTCCAAAAGTATCCCTAGCTAAGTATTGTGCCTTGGCTTTTATGTCTCCCATCTCTGCCCAAATATACTTAACCCCAAATATACATACCATGACCTTATAGAATCCAATAGCTCAAGTCATCAGTTAAGAGTGTTTTCTACCTTGTTTATAATTCAATATCAAACACATGCTCTGTGCCTTCTTCCCGCAATTAGTGGGACAGGAGTCCAGTGCCAAGGACCACATTCTCGAAGTGATGGCTGGTCTTCCCTAGCCTGAAGTTGATTCTACTGACCAAAGTGCCTGAACTTCCAAGGATTGGCTTTTAAGCTTCAAGGTCTTATGCTGTTTAGAGCTAAGCAATAATGTCCAGGGGCTGCCTGATTTCAAAGATAGTGATGAAGGAGGCTCAACCAAAATCATAGACTTACTTAAAGCATGAGATTGATTTTCTTGGTAATTTGATTACACAGTTCTCCACTGTGAACTTTGTGGGTGACATTGTCTTGTCACATGTCAAAGGCTGAATACATCTGAGAGAGAATCACATTTGTTCAACTAATTGTTAGAACTTGTTTTGAAAAAATACCAAAACAGGTCACCAAATTGTTCCTGGATTGTTTGAATAATTTCTCATTTGTAAACCACCTGGTCCTAGGCTTTACTAACACAACTGGGCACACTCCGTTTTATCTGAGGTAACAATGTTACCTCAGAAAACAGCAAGAGTATACTTTTAAAAGTGCCAGGCCAGTCTGGGTGGGCCAGTGGCCAGCTTGTCAAACCACCATTTCTTCCTGTTTCCTGGCAGGCATAAGGAAACAGCAGGCTTCTAAATACTGAAGCAATGGTGGTGCCTCGGGTGCTCTGACACTTTTCTCCGAGGCTGATCTGGAGAAAAACACATCTTGCCTGAGGGTGAATTGGAGAGCGGGTATCACTCTTCAGCCTGGGTTTACACTCTCGAAAGCATGCACCTTATTAATAGTCCAGCTGAAGGGGCTGCTCCTAAGAGAAAAAGACTGCTAATAGGTTAGCCAAGTAAAAACAGAAACCCAAACCACACACGCGCCCAGGTGCTTTCCAGCATTCACACGTGTGTGCGTGTAAAGAAACCCACCTTCAAAGAAGAAAATGGCAGGAGCCCGGGATGAAGCCAAGGGCCTCAGCATACAGGAACATTTTCCAGTCTCTCACAGCTGCTGTGGGGACTCTGAGATGCTCTTTATGGAAGATTCTAGCTTCATGTTCATTTCCTATTTGGTATTCTGCAAATTCGTAGCTCCCTACCCATCCTTTCTGTTCTGAGCTCGAAATAAGTAGCCCCCCTCCTATCACCTCCTCAACCCCTGTAGACTCCTCTCAAGGAGAAATCTGGTAGAAGGGAAAGCAGGACAAAGATGCCCCCTGGAAGCCTATGATGGGGTGGGCACAGGCCAGGCCTGTCTTGCTGTCATGTTCCTGGGGCTGGCATTCTATATGGCAAGTGCATGGGGGCTCAATAGTAAGCAGGGTGCCCTGGGTTTGTAGCTGGGTGTGGCTAGTGTTTTGGGGGCATCCTCTTCTTGATGAGACAGGGATAATAAATGCCTAGGCCAGTCCAAATTTTGTTTTTATTTGAAGAATTTTATTTGCCAGCACTGTTTACAATTATTCTCAACAATTTCAAGTGGGAAAGGGGGGACATCTAGATCAGTTCAAGGCCACCAAACAACTGAATGAGGTTTCCAGAGAGCCCACCAGAAGCTGAGTCAACCTTACCATGACACCAGCGTGGGTGCTAGATATTCAACAGTCACACCTCTTTGGGGGCTCTAGCAATCTGTAACTGATAGATTTGGAGCCTCTTCAGAGTAGAGTTAAGATGAAAGAAGTGTAGCACAAAGTCCAGCACCCATGCACTCAGAATTGGGCAGTCTTTGGGATCACCCCTACCTCTCAGCTCTTGCGTGCCAGTTCCTTCTTCCCCGTTAGTTATATATGTCATATCCCCTGTCCTAACCTTTATGTCCTCTAGAGAAAATGACTGGATAGAAACAGCTGTGAAGGAAATGCCACCCATCGGAGGGAGCTGGGATATCTTTGCTAACTCAACATCTACTTTACTTCTTTGTTTGCCTTTCTTCTTATTTCCCTCTTACAATTGCCTTTCCCCAACAGAGAAACCAAGGGGCTTTCAAAGCTGGACTGTTTAGTTAAAAAAAAAAAAAAGCAAAACCTTTGAGCTCCTGGACAGAACTCTTGTAAGTTAATTATAACTCAGCCTTTTCTTTCACCCAAACAGCTGGTGATAGTTAAACGCATTCTTTTAAAGCCCACTTAGTCTCTAAGCTTCTTTCTCTCTGTTTTAGTTAGTCAGGATATGAAGATGCTGTTGGTGGACCAAGAAATGTCTGTCAGTGTTTTGTCTTCTGGAAAAGACAAAAATCATTAAATAGTTAGAGCAACATGGTGATCGGGCTCCATGCTTTGAAGGCTTGGGATCTTGGTGACTATACATGCTTTGTTTCAGGATGCGCTGATGCAAGAAAATGTGCAGAAAGTGAAGCAACAGTTAACAGCCACCCACGGTGTCTCTAAAGAAGGTCGCATACTGATGAAAGAGGTACTTCCATGACTACACACCCCATGCCCTTGTATTCATGAGCAGCCATTTCCTTTCAAAGACAGTAGAAGCCAGACATGGTTACTCATGTCTAGAATCCCATCTCTCGGGATGCTGAGGCAGGAGGATTGCTGCAACTTCAAAACCAGCCTAGGTTACAGAGTGAGTTCCAGGCTAGCTTGGGTTACAGAGTGATACTTGGCCTCAAAACAACAAAACCACAAGAACATCAGCAGAAAGGACAGTAAAATCTTGCATTCAACCGAGAAATTGGAATTTTTTGAAAGGCTGTTGGACTAGATAATAGTTTTGAAATAATAGCTCCTTCATTGTCTGATTAATAACAAAGAATCTTTCTACCTCCCACTCACTTATGAAATTGGATCTCATGTGGCCCAGGCTGGCTTGGAACTCACTGTATAGCTGAGAATGACTTGGAATTCTGGATCTTCCTTCTTCCACCTTCCAAGTGGTTGGATTCCAGGGATTATGGGATTATGTCACCAAGTGCAGCTCTGTGATTCTTTCATCATTTTAAGTAGATCAATCAACATTCACATCTGTTCTGTCCTTGGAGTATTCGTGACCCAACATTTGTCTGTGAATCATCTCATGCAAATTGAATTGTGGTGATTAGAAAGCATTTACTTTTCCGCCTCTGCATCAGCTCCCAGGAAAGGTTGGAAACGTCTCTTCCCGAAGATCATTATCCCTGCTCTTGAGAGGCAGAGGCAGGCAGATAGCTGAGTTTGAGGGCAGCGTGGCTTACAAAGTGAGTTCTAGGACAGCCTGGGCTACATAGAGAAATTGTCTCAAAAAAGTAAAACAAAGAGAGAAAGAAGGAAGGAAGAAAGAAAGGAAGAAAGAAAGAAAGAAAGAAAGAAAAGAAAAGAGAAATAAAAGAAGTGAACCAACAAACAAAACACACAAAGAACAAATCAAAAAGGCTGGGCAGGAAGCTCCTGCCTGGCAAATGTAGAGACCTGAGTTTGATTTCCAACAATGCAGCAAACAAACACCCACCAGAAAACACCTTTATTTACTTCAACTCACCCCCTTTTATTCAGCGCCTCCTAAAGCTAGCTACTGCATTAGCTGTGAAGTCCTGCCTAGCACAGTCCTCTTCTCACCGACTGTCCCTCTTCCAGTTGGAAACCGGTTTACCATTCAGAAAGAGTTTCCATGCCCCTTGTGTGTAATAGTAGGATACACTGGGAGACGTTCATGGTTAGGTGATTTTTGTTGTTGTTGTATAACTGTAGAGAGCATGCGTGTTAAGACTTAGGTGGCAAAAACCAGTCACTCATTATGGCTGTGATTAGGTCAAGGGAAGCAATAATCCTGAGATGGATGAGGCTGCTACTGCTCTACCATAGCTTACAGTTTTACAGCAGGTGTGTCTGCTTGTGTAGTGTCTGTCTGTATGTATGTGTGGTGCATGGTATATGTGAATATGTGTGTGCACTCATAAGCATTCGTATGAAAGCCAGAGGGTGATGCTGGGTGTCTTTCTCAGTTGCTCTCCATATTACTGCCTTTAGACAGAGTCTGTCACTGAGCCTGAAGCATGATGTCTTGCCTAGGATGGCTTACCATCAAGCTCCTAGAATCTGTTTCTGCCCCTCAACACTAGGGTTACAGGCACACAGTCACTATGCCTGGCTTTTACATAGGTGATGAGCATTTGAACTCAGGTCCTCATTTCTCATCTGCATCAAATGTACAGTGGATTGTAGGAAGGTGGTCAGCTGAATTAGCACATTTGCACACTGTCGTATAAGACACTAACTGTGTTAAGGAGTATAAACCATAGTCAGAACCCTGGAATCTAGGCAGAGAGCAGTCATGCCTGCTTCCACACATGGCACTGAAAAAGTCTGCATCTATAGCACCTGATCAGCGAAACATGGTGGCTCAGTGTGGGCTCGAGGGGGCTGATTGCAATATAGACTCTGCCACTTACCACACAGTGCTGATAGCTTTTTTATTTCTGTTACCCAGTTTTTGTAATTAGAAAAAAATACTAGTAATGTATTAGTGTGTGTGTGTGTGTGTGTCTGTGTGTGTATCTTATAGCTGCTTGTTAAGATTATTTGAATTAAACCAGATGTGGCAGTTTACTTTCATAATTCCAGCACTTGAGACCCTGAGGCAGGAGAATTGTCCTAAGTGCAAGGCTGTTTCTGGCCATAGATTAAGTCTCTGATTCAAAATGCAACAAAGCAAAATAAAACAAACCAGGAATGACTGAGTTATAATGTATGAACCTTGGAGCAAAACCTTCGAATCTCAATAGATTAATCATCCATTCAATGATGGAGGTGCTTAGAGAAGCATGTAGAACAAATTAGATGATGAACAAATCCAGCATCATCACCGTTACAGCTGTTGCTGTTTTCTATTGTGCGATTCATAGTTTTGTATCTAATAGGAATATGGTACTTTTTGAAAGAACCGATAATTAACGAATGATCATCAAGGGCTTAGAGCTGCTGGTTGGGTTCTCCAGCCTAGAGGCTCTGAAAATGTCCCCTACAATATGTGCATTGCGTGTTTTACCTCTTAAGTGGACATTGGTAAGAGTCCATGACTATTCCTTTTTGTTTCCCGTAGCTGGCCAGTATGTTCCTATCCGAGGATGAAAATTTCCTCCTGTTCTTTCGCCTGGAAACTCCCTTGGATAACAGCGTGGAGTTCATGCAGGTCAGCGCTTGTTGTTGTCTCCAAGGAGAAAGAGGGTGGGACTGCCATTCATTCCTCTTTCTGGTCCTTAAGACTGACTACTCTGATCTCTGTGTCTCTATATCTCTCTGTGTATCTATCGACGTATCTTGGTCCCTGATGGTGACATTGTTCAGAAGGTAGAGCCTGACTGGAGGAAGTGGATCACTGGGCCTTGACCTTGAGGTTTCAGAGCCTGGCCTTATGTTTTGTCCTTCTCTTTCCTGACTATGGATGTAATGTGACCAGCTGCTTTGAGTTCCTACAGCCAGGCCATCTCCACTATGATGGACTGTGCTCTCTTGAACTGTGAGCGGAAATAACCCCTCCATTAGGCTGCTTCTTGTCAGATAAATGGCTTTTGTGTGTTTCAGATTTGGCGCAAATACGATGCGGACAGCAGTGGCTTCATATCAGCTGCTGAACTTTGCGTGAGTGTCAGTGAAAAGTAACACTGCATGAAGGGTTGGTTGGTTTGGGAGGTGTGTAACATACAAACACATATTTACATAATATAAATATATAATATATAACATAAACGTATATATAATATATAATATGATATCGCTCATCTATCTATCTATCATCTATCTATCTATCTATCTATCTATCTATCTATCTATCTATCTATCTATGAGTTTGATTTCTGTGGGCCCAAGACACACAATTTTGAATTTGTTACTTTACAAAAAGCATGTTTATATCAAGATTTTGAAGGTGAGGTGGCAAGATGGCATAAAGCTAATGACCCAAGTTCAATCCTTGGAAGCACATAAGGGTAGAAGGAGAGAAACAGTTCCACAAATCAGTCCTCTGATTTTCACATACTGTTGCACAGCCCTGCATGTCATGCGCATGTACATGCGTGCACACACATACAGCACAATAATAAAAGTTTTGAAACCAATACATAAATGAGAAATTAAAGGTTTAGAAATTGCTTGTCTCACGTCTGTCTTTGGGAAAGAGGCGAATGCTTGGAGTTCCTCCCTGGACCCAAGAGCGACTTCAATGGCAGCCCTCCAAGCTTCTACTTAATGTTTATTGAACAATATTTTATTTCCTCCTTGAAAGAAATCGCAATCCCTACCCCAATAGAAAAGACCTTAAAGAAGCACGTATCTTATTGTCAACTGTGTCCAATGCCACTCTTCTCTCGGTGTCACAGAACTTTCTCCGAGACCTTTTCCTCCACCACAAAAAGGCTGTTTCTGAGGCTGAACTGGAGGAGTACACCAGCACCATGGTGAGTGAAGGAGAGTGGGCCTGTGTGGGAACCTGCCCTGCTGTGTGTGTGTGGGAGCCGGCCCTGCTGTGTGTGTGTGTGTGGGAGCCGGCCCTGCTGTGTGTGTGTGTGTGGGAGCCGGTCCTGCTGTGTGTGTGTGTGTGGGAGCCGGCCCTGCTGTGTGTGTGTGTGTGGGAGCCGGCCCTGCTGTGTGTGTGTGGGGGGGAGCCGGCCCTGCTGTGTGTGTGTGGGGGGGAGCCGGCCCTGCTGTGTGTGTGGGAGCCTACCTGCCCTGGCCTCCTCGCTTGCCCAGAAATGTTTGCTGATGAATGGCTTCATGGAATGAACCTGGCTCTGGAACAGTGGCTAAAACCAAGCTGTTGTAGCCTCTTCCTTGAAACAGATGCATGCATTTGGGGGAGGGGGAAGTATTCAGTTGTCTTTAGAGAGACCGGGAATGTTCAGAAAACAGTGGGTTTTAAAGCACCTTGCTAGCAAACTCAGTAGTCACCAAAGGAACACAGAAACAAATAAACATGGACCTGTGCCATCAGGACGCAGCTGGTGGCCATGGCCTCTCACCACAGTGGAAATTCTACTCATTGAACCTGTGGACTCAGAGCAGTGGAAACTCAGATGGAAATGTGCATGTCTCCTGTAGCCGTGACCTAAGACAGTGATAAGCTGGTGCCCAGGTAGAGTCAGGACAAAGCGAGTTGTTGCCTAAGAATCACTTTGCTTTCCAAGGAGAGCACAGGTGTGCTGTGGTCGTTACCTCTTATTGGAGGTCATATCTTTATTTCACACCCTTCTCACGGCATTCTTGACCCAAATAATCGTGAGATGATTCCACTGTCAAGCTTCTTGGGAAATTATTAGATAGGAAAAGGTGGGCACATCATTGCTTTCTGTTTCTGTAGTCACTAAATGCACTTAACAGTTTGTGTTGAATGGCCCCTCTTTCCGTGCCAGCTTCTTCCTGTCTCCAGGGCTGTGGTTCATTCTCATTACATCTATAGATTTCTTAATTAGTAAGCAAAGGACCCAAGACAGCCTTAGTTGGGTATTGTAGGAGCGTCACATTTATTTTATATTTTAAGTTAATGCCTTTTAGAATTTCAGACATGAATACTGTATTTACATCACTTTAAATTTTTTTCAGCAGTATCTCCATGTTACATTTATATTTATACAAAGAATTTTTGAGCAGAATTTATGAGAAGTTGGAGTATATACAACCGAAACAATATGTGATTTTTCTAAAATGTGGGTCCCTAGGTTGGCACACATACACGCACATGTCACACACGTACATATTTGTGTGTGCATGCGTGCGTGTGTGTGTGTGTGTGTGTGTGGCAGGGACATGCATATTCATGTGAAGGCATGAGGTCCAGCTTAGGTGTCATTCCTCAGGAACCATCCTATAAAATGGGATCTCTCACTCACCTAAGATTTATTGGTTAGCTGGCTAAGCTGATTGACCAGTGATCCCCAGCGATCCCCAAATTTGTTTTCCCAATGCTGGGATTACACATGTGCTACCACCCCGTCTTTTAAAATGTGGGTTCTAGGGATTAAACTCAGGTATTTGTGCTTGCAGAAGCAATTCACCCAATGCTCTAGCTCCCCAAGCCTGTATATATACTTTTAATTGGGTTGCTCAAATACTGAAACTTACTTCAAAGATCAACTAACCAAGAAAAGGTAAGTTTCTCAGCCGAAGGCACCGTAAAGCTAAGCTTCTTAGATAGCAGCCCTGGACCCCTCCAGAATATCACTCTGAACTCTGGCCACTCTGAGTGCTGGTCTGGGGCAAGTGAGTCTTCCCAGAGAAAAATGAAAGCTGTGGTGACCATGATGGCCTGTAAGTAAGAAAAGATGGTGCTCAAGAGATGACCCAGTCCCAGGACAGGATATCAAGGAAGCCTTTGGCGTATTTGTTTTAACTGAATGTAGCATGATACTGGGAATTATTTGTTCTAGCTGAATGCAGCATGATACTGGGAATCCTGGGCAAACACAAGCTTAGCCCTGGGAGGGTGGCGATCTCCCAGGGGCAGGAAGCAGGTGCGCTATTCCAGGGCCTCTAAAATCTAAGCGCCAGTGAAGATCTGTCATGGAATAAACGCGAAAAGGAATTAGTTTGTATCTTTCAGGGGGCCAGACTAGGAGACCTTGAACATATTTTAAACATCAGTTAAACAGAATGTTAGCCTGTCTGCTATTATCTCAATTTAATTAATTTGTAAAACATGAACTATGCAGTGAATATATTTACATTTTAAATCTCTGGCAGCTTTCGGGCATTTCTTCCACTTTGAAGCTGATTGAGCAGCAGGCTCCACCAGCTACCTCCAGCTGACAATTCTAATCTCTGCTTTCTCCTTCATTATATTGCTCAGCTATTCTTTTTCTGCTCTTCTCTCCTGTCCTTGAGCATTCTTCAAGATTCAGTTACATGTTATCTTTCTTGAAGAAATCCTTACAACCTTCTTTCATAGTGAGTCCAGTACCACTCTGCCCAGCCTATTGTGTGTGTCCCCACCTTAACATAGGCAGTCATTCACCCAAGTCATCTAGCAAACACTCGTTAAGTGCTTATCATGCCCCAGGCGTGAATCTAGTCACTGGGGATTCAATAGTGAGAAAAATAGGAAAGAGGAGCTTGGCAGTAAACAATGCAAATAATAAATAATAGATTATATTGCATGACAGAGGGTGAGTGGAAAAGTAGAGCCAAATATGGTAAAGAACTGGGGTATCCTGGTGTCATTTATGCTGCTGTGATGAAATATCCTAACAGAAGGAATATTAGGGGAGAAAGGGACTTATTTCAGCCTGTTATAATCTATCATTGTGGGGCAGTCAAGGTGGGCACTTTAAAATGCTAGTCACAGCACGTCTAAATCAAGGGCGGAGAGAAATGACCTTGCCTCTATGCTCACTTGCTTGCTTGTGCTCAGCTTGTTTGTCACAGACCGTGCCACATTGGGCTGCCATATGTCGTGGACCAGCCTTGACAAAGAGTACCTCTTGCCAGGGTAAAGGTATGGGAATTTAGAAATATTAGTAAAGAATACGGAAGCGTGTAAAAAAATAATAAGAACAGAAACCATAGAAAGTACCCGGAGGGCATTCCAGTGAATACTGAAATTGCCAGTTTATTTTTCTGTATTGTTTTTATACCCAATACAAATGGGGAAGAATGTAGCCAAAGACTTTATTAACATGATACAAAGGACAGCTCAAAGAGTTAACCCCTTTAACACTTTGAGGCATCAAATCATTGGCATTCTGTTGTTTAGGCAGTAAAGCGGCCCTAGACCACTTATCCTGAAGGCAGCCACTCCTCAGGTGACCTCATAGTTCAATAGAAGAAGCAGAAGTCCATTTGCACATCCTGACCACCTGTCAATGTTGAATGGCTCCACTTGTATGAGCTATCTTAATGTCAAAAGAATTAACTAATCACACCCTGAGTTGGGACTCTTGTCAGCCACTTTGAGCAACCTCCAACTCTTTACCATCAGACAAGAACACTGGGAATGGCGATGGGGTGTTTCGGGGCCGCGGTGTTAAATGTCCTCTTTCCCTCAGTGGTCACACAGCCTTTGTCAGGGAAAATCTGAAGAGTCAGTAGAAAGGACCAGAAGTGCTCTGATTATTCCCGTCATGCCCACCGTGGATGTCACCACCACAACGCATCAGTCAGTAAGAGGAGCTGAGTTCAAGTTTCCTACCCATCCTTCAGTGCTAGTTTCACCTGGGGCCCCAAGTCCTGGAAGTTGTGTACCTCCTGAGTGCTGAGTGACTCCCCGTGAGTGAATCATGTTTCTGCTACTTTAATGCCTTCTTATTGAGCGATGAATACAATCATTGCAAAGCTGGGCTGAAGACTGACTTTTGAGGCTTAGCACGAACTGCTTTGCTTAAAAGATGCATCCTATCAGATGAATTCAAATTGACCCTAATGAGAATGGCCGCATCTGACAGCTGTGAGAAGCACGGCTAACAAATGCTGAGGGTGAACAACCAATCAGAAGAGAAAGGCTCAGGCCTGCTGGCCGAGTCCTCTCCGAATTCCTAGTTAACATTCAGGAGGAGGAAGGGAGGAAAGGATGCTAACAGACAGGATGCTATCTAGACTGTGTACCTAGATAGGATATCGTTAGATGATACTTAATTTTGCTAAGTGCAAGCGAATGACTCTGCGTGTTACTATCACAAAACAAATGAAATTCAGACACTTTTGATAAACAGAGAAATTCCTGAGGTTAAGCTGGCCTTATGACTAACATGAAGTCAGTCTTGTCTGAGACCTGTCTGGACTCATCTGTGAGATACTTTCACTGTCTCTGTCTATTCTACGTAGGCAGTTTAAAATACAAGGTAATGCCTGACAGCATTGTCTCCGACTCAAGCCATTCTGAACTTCTTGGGCTCACATGGACATGTGTCTCAATCTCAAACTTAGCATGTCCAAAATTGAAATTCTGACCTTGTCTCATAAGCTTCCTCTGCTGGTGGTTCCCTTCATCTTGACGGATGTGTCAAGACAATCAGTCTTGATGCCTTCTCTGCCAGGCTACATCTAATCAGCAAATCCTATTGACTACTATGCTAATTGAGGTTCTGTCAGGATTAACAAAATATTTGAAGCACAGTAGGATGTAGAGAAAAGACGTTTATTTAGCTGGCAGTTTAGGGAGGCTGAGAATCTACGATTGACTAGTCCTCACCTATTTGCTTAGCAGATGCATCCCAATGGCGGGGAAAAGTGCTTGTGCAACAGAACGGAGTGGGATGGGAAGCAGAAGGACACCCCACGGCCATGCTCAGTCTTCTCAAAACAACTCACATTTGGAACCCAGTCACAAAAGGCTTACATTAAGCCTTCCATATGAGCTAACCACTTCCCTGGGTTTCACCTCCTAAGCTTTTCTCAACTCAGCACTGGTTCAATGGAGACTACACTAAACTTCCTTATCTTAGTGTCGTCCTCCGGAGACTAAGCTTCCAGCATGTGTTCTTTTTTTTTCCCGCTTTATTTTATTTTTTTTTTAAAAGAAAACTATCTTTTTACATTTTACATACCAATCCCAGTTCCCACTCCATATCCTCCTCCCACTCCCTCCACTTTTCTCCCCATCCTAGTTCCCCATCCATTCCCCAGGGAAGGCAAGGCACATTGCTCAGAGGAAGGACCATATATATCTATATAGGTTTCTCTTTTCAGTGATGCAGCTGCCACCTTCTACCCTGTGGGAGGCAAGGTTCTTTGTTCTCCACAGCTGCATGTGCCAGGCAAGCTGCCCATCAAGTTACTGAGTATTCTCCTGTGTCTGCTGCTTTCCGTGCCAGGATGAGCACTGGGGTTACAGATGTGTGTACTTCCCAGCCCAACTTTGGGTGCTGGAAGTGAATCCAGGCCCTCATGCCTATACAGTAGGCACTTTGCCAACTGAACTCTCCAATTCTGATTTGAAGTAGTTAAAACTGCTTGTTATTATTAAAAATTTATGCTTAAAGGGTATTATAAAACATCTAATAAGTCCCAAGATACACCTGTGCCATCTGTGATGTCTCTGTTTTTGTTTTATGAGACAGAGTCTTTCTATGTAGCCCAGGTTTGCCTTGAACTTACACCAATCCTCCTGCATCAGCCTCCTAAATGCAGGGATTAAGGGCACATACTATTACAGGTTCATCCCTGTTTTAGGAGGTTCTATAACAGACAATTTCGGATGCCAAAGTTTGGAAAGAGTGAACTTTTAAATTTTAAAAATAAACTAAATTCTGAGAGGGAGAAAGGATCTAAAGCTAATAGATTTTGTAATGAGCTCATGCCTCCGTTTTCTGCGCAGCCTCCTCACATGACATGTCCACAGATACTCTGGAGCTCTAGAATATGAGGTCACATTCCAGCTCAGACGTGTAAACAAGTGTGTCCCCTCTATACACCTAAACCCTGAGAGGTTAGAACAGACAATTTTGGCTCCAATACTACCTCACCTGAAGTTTTGTACAGGCTAATAGTGCAAGTGATCTCTTTGGACAATGCTGGATGTTTTTTGCCCTCTGTTCCACTCAATGAAACATCCTCTCTAAGATCTTTTCACCCAAGACTTGGTTGCTGAGATACCTTTGGCGAATATAAAATACTTAAGTAAAACCCTGACTCAAAGCCAAACACCAGATTTTCAGCTGTTATCCCTATGTAGACTTGTTTCACCTACTAGAAATGAGGCAGTTATTGCTGCCACCCACCACATAACTAAACCTTTCCTTCTAAGCACATGGTGGGACTGACCGCTCTACTACTCTTTTCGATTTATATGGGGCCAGTACCTGGCTTTGGAATAATGAAATTTTAATCAGTAAATGAGCTGTCATTTTCTTTCTACCATGGTAACCAGGAATGTTGCCATAGATCAGCTGCTGTGAGGGAGAGCTGCCAGCTAGCCTTGGATTCTCTGCCACAGGAACAAGTTATAGACATGTATTGTGATAACACACTAAGGATTGGTCACTGTGACCTATCCCAACCAGAAGCTGAGCTGCCAGTCATTTGGTGGCAAACACTCATTTCCCCTAGGTAGGTGTGTTCCTCAACTCAGCTGGTTTACAGAGTCTCCTTAAGAACTTTCAAGATCACTGGGTGGTAGTGGCTCATGACTTTAATCCCAACTCTTCTGAGACAGAGACTGGCTGATCTACAGAGTGAGATCTGGGACCCTGGGACAGCCAGGGCTACAGAGAAAAAACTGTCTCAGAAAAAAAAAAGGAAGGAAGGAAGGAAGGAAGGAAGGAAGGAAGGAAGGAAGGAAGGAAGGACTTTCAGCAATCCCTGGTACAATCATTTGTCACATCCATGTTCCTTTTTGCCTTTCAGATGAAGATCTTTGACAAAAACAAAGATGGCCGTTTGGATCTTAACGACTTGGCGAGGTAAGTGGTGCAGAAACGGCGACAAACTCAGAAGTCCCTGTCTGGGGGGTCTGATGGCAACACACATCCTTTGAAATCTGACATCCATTCTCGCCTGGAGGCTAAGAGACCAGGCTCATCTTACAACCCCAACCGTGGCGCTTCTGAATCACGTTGGCAAACAGATTCCTTCGTGGAGATAATCCAAGCACCATCCCGCCTACGTGTGCAATGCACACAACTTTTATTTTTCTTTTTAATTTTATGGTTATGCTCTGAGTGGGTTTTGCCCCCAGAGGCCAGGCATACTTGGTCCCACATTGGGATTCCAGGACCAAAGTAAAAATAGCCCCCTCCAAACCCCAAATCTAACAAAATGAAAGCAATGATGATAATGATGATGATGATAAATGAAAGAAAGAATCTTGAGGGTATTCACTGACTCCAGGAATGTTGAATGGTTAATTCAGAGCAAAAGCAACAACTGACTAACTTTGGTAGGACTAGTTTTCTGTTGGCTTTTGCGGGCTGACTACCCTCTGTAGTAAGGTTTAAAGTGGAGAGTCCTCCAGCCTTGTTTTTTTTAAAGATCTTTCTGGCTGTGCTGGGTCTGTTTGCATATCTTGATATAATTTTAGGCTTAGATAGTCAGTTTCTACATAAAGGCAACTCAGATTTCCATGAACTTTGTTCTGAATCTGCTGTTCAAAATGGAAATATTGTCATCCTAACAATATTGTCTTTACGTTTAATAACAACAGTTGTCTGTCCATCTTTCCAGCTGTTTAGTTTCTCTGGAAGATACTTTGGACTTTTCAGTCTAAAAGTTGATCCTAATCTTGTTCAGTTTGTTCTCAATCCTTTGCTTCTTTTGGATGACGTCATATATAGCATGGTTCTTTGGATCCTTTCTTAGTTCTATCCTCTTGCTGTATTAGAACACCGTGACCAAAAGCAGCGTAAGAAAGGGTTTCTCTTGGCTTGCCCTTCTGGAGAGGTAGGGTCTAACGTAGGTGGGAAGGCATGGAGGCAGGAGCAGGCAGCTGACTGGTCACACTATCATCCACACACAGGAAGGAGTGAGAGAAAAGAGGGTGGTGAACAGTGGTGGGGCTGCAGGAGCCCCAAAACAGGCCTTGAAAGATGTGCTTCCTCTAGCAAGGCTACAACCGCCTAAAGGTTCCTTAAAGACCCCAAACGGCACCGCTAACTGGGGGAACCAAGTGTTCAAACACACAGGCCCATGGAGGGAAATATCTCATTCAAATCACAGTTCTTTTCTGTCCTTATTCTCTCTCCTCCCTCCATCCTTCTGCTTCCTTCCTGCTTTCTTTTTCTCCCTCTTTACTCCCTCCCCTCCATCTCCTTTTGTTTTTGATGCAGGGTCTCTCTATGTGGTCCAAGCAGGCTGGCCTTGAACTCGCGCTCCTGCTCCCTCGACCTCCAGACTGCTGTGATTACAGATGTGCATTTTTGCTTCGGTCATTTCTCGTGAACAGAAATGCAATAGGAGGCTCTGTGTGGATTGTGTCCTGTAACTGTGCTGTTCCTGTTTGTTAGCTTGAATAAGTTGCTGTTTGGTTCTTTGGATTTTCTTGACGATGATGCCACTTGCAAAAAGCAGCAGTCTGTTTCTTCCTTTACATTTTGCTAATCTCTGCTTCTGATGGAGCTATTTAACCCATATATGTTTAATGTGATTGCTGATGAGGTAAGGTTTTATGTTTGCTGTTTTTCTGTGTTTTATCTCTGCTATTTTTCTTGTTGCTGCCCCTTTCTATCTTACGCTAAATAAATATTTTATAGTGAACTATTTTCATTCTCTTATTGTTTCTTTCACTATTTATATATTTTGGTGCCAGGGGCCAGCCCCAGCTGTTGACAGGTTCCAGAGAGGAGGTGAGGAGTGGGGGGGAGGGAGTGAGCCAGATCATTGCTGCTGGCAAGAATTTTGCAGCCTGAGTGCTTCTTTATTTAAATGGAATTCGGTAAGCAGGGATAGGTTCATGTTGTTCTTAAGTAGAGCTCATATTATTTTCGTATCTGGACATGTGTTTAACTTTTTCTCTTGCACATCAGGGGTTAAAGTTTATTCACCATTGATGAACTGTGACAGAACAGAGTTACATTTTACAATCATTTCCCCTCAAGTTTAGCCATCATTGATAAACAGGCTTATCTTTTATAATCATGTTTATCTATAAATCCTATAACCTAATTTTTAAGATTTTGAGAAATATATGGCAGTCTGTTTTCAGGCTGCTAGCTCTTGTGGTTTCAAGGATGCTAGACAGAAAGAAAATCTCAAAGCCAGCCTGGGCAGTTTGCCATGTCCGAGGCAGTGTATTCTTAACTCTTAATGGTGAGAGGGCCCAAGGAAAATCCTCAGGCCAAAGCTGCTGCAGTTATTATTCAAATTCTGGCATAATACAAGGTTTGCATTTTATATCTTTCTAAAATTTGTTTATATGTCTAATCCTGGCATTTTGTTTGTTTGTTTGTTCCTTGGTGATAGGATACCACAGTGGCGCCACATGAGCTAACTTTTCTCAGAAAGGGAGGTCCTGACCCCTCATTCTTTATCATCTTTCCACACCGTTCTTTGTCCATCATTATAAGTCCCTGTGTAGGGCAGAAGTAACTTCAACTATCTAACTTTCATTGCTGTATATGCCTGCCACATGGTCATCTGTAGAATAGGAAGAGGATTGTAATCTCCTCTATTGCCAACTTCTCTCCAAATCTTGCTGACCTTTTAAGTTTGCTTTGTTCTGATTATCTTGTTCTTGAGTAAGAACAGGGGCAGATGTTTCAAGACTATATCAGACCCTCATAAAGAGATCTCTGGAGTCTTTGGGTGTGTCACAACCTCCAAGGTGTAAGGAAGACCTTCAAGTAGATGAGGATATCTCCTTAACAGAAGGCTGAATAGGATGCTCAGGACTGCGCTGGGGAAGCTCAAATGAGTCATAAGAAAAATTTCACCAATCCAATATCCCCAAATTGTAGAAATATTAATAGCCTCCCAAGCATGTAATACACAGAGATCGAAGCCAAAAGTGTCATGGTGGCCATACGTGGCTTAGCTTTGCTGGATTCTTGTTGAGCAGTTGTGCTGGCTTTATGACTTTAGCCCTTCCCAGCAGATATGGCTGTGTCATTTGGGGTTATTTTCTTAGTGGTTCTCTGGGGGATTACATTAACAAATTGGATTAATAGCAGCTTAATTTCAATATTATAATAAATTTGTGCTTTGACAGTTCCAATGTACTGTTAAATACCCCGTGTTCTTTTTGTTCTCCAAATCACATCATTATATGCTGTGTAGCCATCAACATCTTTTTTCTTTCTTCCTTCCTTCCTTCCTTCCTTCCTTCCTTCCTTCCTTTCTTCCTTCCTTCCTTCCTTCCTTCCTTCCTTCCCCTTCCTTCCTTCCTTTCTTTCTCCCTCCGCCCCCCCCCTTCCTTTCTTTCTTGGCTATTGCTGTGTGGTCTAGGCTGGCCTTGAACTACTATGTTGAAGGGATCCTCCTGCCTCAGTCTTCTGAGAAGCTGGCAGTGTATCAGGTGCCTGGGGCACACATTTTGAAAACAACAAGAATGGCACTAATCCTCTCTCTCTCTCTCTCTCTCTCTCTCTCTCTCTCTCTCTCTCTCTTTCTCTCTAAAGTATACATGTATGAGCATTTTGGCTGCATGTATGTCTGTACATTATTTCCATGCCTGTTACCTTTGAAGGTTGTGAGCTTCCATGTACTTGCAGCTGAAACTGGATCCTCTATCAGAGCAGCTGATGCTGCTAACCACTGAGCTGTCTTTCCAGCCCCTTTGCTGCCTGTTATAACTGCTCTTGTGCTTACCCTTGCCGGTGCTTTAGATTCTTCACACCGATTCAAGTGTCTGCCTAGTGTCCTCCATTTCAGACCAAGGACTCTGTTTTGTTTTCCATATAGGATCTATTTGTTAGCGATGATGCTTTTGTTGCTCATTTGTTTGTTTGGTGGCATTTCTGAACTTGTTCTATATAGTCTACCCTCGTCATTGTATGTATCCACTAAAGTCTCCTTGTGGGTAGCTTAATGGTCAACTTGTGACGAGGAAGACATGGCTTTTGTTTTTTGTTTTTTTTTTTGTTGATGAAGTGGGAACCAGGCATGGGCTTTGCCCATGCTAAGCTAGTCCTCTGCCACTAAACCACATTCCCATCCAAAGCTTGCTTAAACATCTGGAACAATGACTTCCCAGTCACCCCTCAGGGGCTCATACAGGTGGGGAAACAGAATGCTACAACACTGCTTGTTCTTGACAAGAGTAGCTGGCTTCTTTCTAGTTTTGTTTTTATTTTATTTTGGTTTGTAGAGACAGTGTCTTTGAAGCCCAGGTGGCTTCATACTCCAAAGTCTCCTGCCTCAGTGTTCAGAGCGCTGGGCCTACAGACCTGCGCCTCCATGCCATGCTGATCACACCGTTGGTAGAGAACAAATGCTCCCCAGGCTGCCGAAGACTTTAAATGACTTTTCAGAGTTCTGTAAACCTTGCTCTGACCATTCTTTCCAGTTTCCTTGTTGCTTTTCGTGGGCAGACTTTCAGAAGCCTGCAGTCTATGGTTTCCCACCGGGAAGGGTCTCTGGAGCTTTGTATCGTGATGACTATTGTTGGGAAAGTTTGCCCAGCACCCTCCTTCATCTATGGTGTGGGAATCCTGTATTCCCAGCTTCTGTACAGCGCTTCAGGACAATGCGGGAACAACCAACCTTTTCCTTTCCCCAGAGCTGAGCATTTGCTGACTGATGAGGGAGCTTACAGAGGATCATGTGGATTCTCTTTTTCCCCCCCGTTTAGGATTCTGGCTCTTCAGGAGAACTTCCTTCTCCAATTTAAAATGGATGTAAGTGGTGAGATTTCTCTGGATGGGTTTCTGTTACCTTTGTTTCTTTATGTATCTGGAAAGAAGGAAAGAGAGGGAAGGTAAATTAGTTATTTTTCTTGTCACTAAGGTAAAAAAAATCTGGCAAGAAAGGAAAGGGAGGGAAGATGTGTATTGGTTCACAGTTGTAGAGATGTACTCCATCATGGTGGGCGTGGGGTGGGGTGGTGATGGTCATGGTGGCAGGAGTAGCTCGTAGCTATGGAAACGGAAGCTTGCTTATATCTAGGTAGATCAGGAAGCACAGGACCCAGCAGGAAGCAGGGCTGTGCTATAAAACCTAAAGACTTGCTACTTGGTGATTCACATTCTCCAGCAAGGCCCAATCTCCTAACAGTTCTACAGTCTTCCCAAACAGTGCCACCATCGGGCAACAAACTTCCAATGCATGAGCCTGTGGGGGACATTTTCTATTTAAATTATAACAAAAGACGTCCACTTGTCTTTTAACTGTTTTAGAGACTGACAAGGCTCAAGGTAGAATCAAGGAACTTAAGGGTTGTTGATTTGAAGTTTCTAAGGGTTCTGTGGGAGGCACACACCAGTGGCTTTGCATTGCTGGATTGACATAATGTTTTCTTCACACCCAGGCATCGTCTACTGAAGAGAGGAAGAGGGACTTTGAGAAAATCTTTGCCCATTATGATGTTGTAAGTGCTCTTTATGCTTTGACACCATCTTCAGGTAGAAAGCTCACCTTGTTTCTGTGTGGGAATACCCTACTGACAAGGTCTAAATTCAGACAGTGAATGGTAGTCCCCTGTGTGTGTTGTTAGGTCAAGGTGCCCTGAACATCTCTATGTAACATCAGATGATGAAAGAATGGGCAAATCTGATTTATAGTTGGACAGAGAGGAACTCATAATGTTTCTTTGGCTTGTGAAACTATGATAAAGATTCTCCTTGTAAGAACAGACATCCATTTATTGTGTGTGCCTAAAGAAATGAAGAAACAGAAAAATCCTTCCCATCCAACCAAAGCATCCACACAAGGTCAGTCCTGCCCAGTGTAAAATGGTTTCTCTTGTGGAGTAATTGTACAGCCAGTTTTCAAGTGATGTACTGGCTGGTTCTGTGTGTCTGCTTGACACAGGCTGGAGTCATCAGGGAGGAAGGCGCCTGAGTTGAGGAAATGCAGCCTTGAAAGCCAGCTGTAAGGCATTCTCTCAATTAGTGATCAGTGGGAAGAGCCCTGCCCGCTGTGGGTGGTGCTATCCCTGGGCTGATGCTCCTGGGTTCTATAAGAAAGCAGACTGAACAGGCCAAGGGAAGCAAGCCAGTAAGCAACACTGTCCATGCCTCTGCATCAGCTCCTGCCTCCAGGTTCCAGCCCTGCTTGAGTTTCTGTCCTGACTTCCTCCAATGATGGATTATGATCTGGAAGTGTAAACCACATAATCCCTCTCCTCCCCAACTTGCTCTTTGGTCATAGGGGTTCATGGATGCAGTAGAAACCCTGACTAAGGTGGGCATAACCATTCTAGAACACTAAGTGGCACAGGGTTGAATTTCTGGAGACCAAGGTGGGATAGTGTGAAAAAGAGGGAAAATGAGCAAAAAGGTGGGGAAGGTTCTAAGTGTTTTTTCCGTGAAATTAATGTCCTAGAACACCTGGGTTGCATTCTGAGCAGATGCACACTGCCTGGAGAAGGCAGCGCTTAGGTTCTTGCTGTGTGTCTGTTGCCCAGCTCTTCACCTGGATTTCTCGGTTATGTGACCTTGGATAGTTACTTCAGCTTCTTTATTCTCTCTAACCCCTCCCAATTTTTTTCTTTTTTTTCTTTTTTTCCCTGAGACAGGGTTTCTTGTGTAGGCCTGGCTATCCTGGAACTCTGTAGACCAGGCTGACCTCCAACTCAGAGATCTGTCTCCTGAGTGCTGGGTTTAAAGGCATGTGCCCGGTTTCCCCCTGCCTTTCCCTCCTTATCTGCAAAGCTAGGGAGGTCAGGATAGGAATGGATCTGCCAGAGCTGTGCAAGCTGAATGAGCTACACTTGGAAAGCTTTTCCTGAAGACTTTGGTGTGCAGACGGCCTGCTAGTGAATCCAGTAAAGGAAGCAGATTCAAAATAACATGTTAAAGGGTGGGAATAAAGAAAACACGGGGAGAAAGATGGGATTCAGGGGTGCTGGGTCATACCTCAGGAAGCTGAGGTGAAGGATGTGCTGTGAGTTTAAGACTAGGGTGGAATACAGAGTGAGACCGTGTCTCAAAAATGTAAACATAGGGAGGGACTAGAGGGATAGCTCGGGGGTTAAAAGCAATAGCTGCTTTTCTGAATGACGGGTTCAAATCCCAGCACCCACATGACAGCTCACAACTGTCTGCAACCCTAGTTCTAGGGGATCTGACACCCTCTTCCAGCCACCAACGGCACAGGCGTGCAAAGGGTGCACAGAGATCCAGGCAGGCAGGACACCAATACACATAAACTAAAACCAAACAACTCGTTAAAGACATTGTGAGGCAGAAGGCATTATATAACAGGTACTTTAGGAAAAGATGGACATGTTTGGATGTCTATGCTTCATTTTACTTTCATGTTTACAAAGATTACAGAATGAGTAGGAAAAATGTCTTATATCCAGGAGAAACAGTTTCATATACGGATTCAATTGCAACCGCCCTCCGTTTAAAGCTTACACTTGCAGCAATGACCAGATGATTGCTCAGGTATAAAGCAAGCATTTTAAACGTCCAATCTGTCTTCTCAGGATGATTGCTGTACGATTAACACTTCCTGGAACAGAAGCCATGTGAGGGAAGTAGATGTCAATAAGTTCCATGTCAGTGCTCTTTGCTGAGGGGCTCAGAACCATGTTTCCTCATCTGGGGGCAGGAAGCTGTGGATGGGGGATTCTTTAGCTCACGCAGGGCACTCATAGCCCGTGAGAATAAAAAGCAGAGAACCCCGTTCCTAAATCGGTTCGCAGTTACAAATGAACACTGATTGATCTATTTGTCAAATTTATTCTTTAGCTTTTTGAACTAAGAAAATGATATGTAAGTGATTTGAGCTTTCTATCCTTCAGAGCAAAACTGGGGCCCTGGAAGGCCCCGAAGTGGATGGATTTGTCAAAGACATGATGGAGCTGGTCCAGGTGAGTTCATGAGGCCAAAAGGGCTACTCCCATCATGCACTGGGGTTGACATTGTGACAAATCACACTGTTTATTTCTGGGACTGAGTGAGGCTGAAGATTAATGCTAAGGAGAAAGATCTGGAGACATTTCCTGTCTCAGAACCACTGAGATTCCGGGAGACGCAGCATGTCCCTTTCACAGTTTAATTTCTAATGAGTTACAATAACACATAATCAAGGCAGAAGTGTCTTTTAACCCCATTTTAAAGTCATTAACTCTTCCCAAACAGCCCGGTTTTGCTGTGCATTTTACTGTTTTATTATTTCAGTTGCCTGGAGTCTTTTCCCCCCTCTATTACCTCTCAGACTTCATTATTACAATAACTACAGTTTCAAATTTAATTTCCCATAGAACTTTTTTTTTTCATCACAGGGTGTTTCAAACATCTAGCCTAAGAAGGACACATACTGTTATGACATTGCTGAGTCTCGGGCTGAGGCCATTTAGGTTATATTGTGTTACATGGCTGTTTCTTGGTAGGGTCGATGATGTTTCTAAAATGGCAATCTCCTTCTTTTTTTTTTAAAAAATATTTATTTATTTGTTTATTATGTATACAATATTCTGTCTGCATGTATGCCTGCAGGCCAGAAGAGGACATCAGATCTCATTACAGATGGTTGTGGGCCACCATGCGGTTGCCAGGAATTGAACTCAGGACCTTTGGAAGAGCAGGCAGTGCTCTTAACCACTGAGCCATTTCTCCAGCCCCCAATCTCCTTCTTTTGAACTTCGTTCTCTATACTTGTTTATAATCCCCTACATAGACAACTCCAGCCTCTCTTTCTCCAGGGAGCAGTGTAGACAGTGGATTTAGTAGTCTGTGTACCTAGGGATTACTTTGAAGTACATTATTGTATGCACGACGATTGCATACTAGCTGTCCCAGACAGCAACAAATTAGAGCAACAGTTATTTATCACTTTTCAAGTCTCAGAATTATTGCAAATATGATTAAAGCTAAGGAACCTTGCTTGATAGCAGGCAGGTTATATGGTCTATCTAGGCTGTAATTAAGTATGAAATTGTATGAACTTACAATGCTTGTCTTGAAAATTTGAGATTACGTTTGTAGAACCCCTAGTCAAGGAATCTAAGCACTCCTGTGTTACTGACTTGCTATTAAGACAGCCTTAAAGACAGAGGTTCCATGGCATCTATGTTTTATCTTCAGTGATCCAGATATTTTTAAGGAGCAATATTCAGTTTTCCTAACTTGTAGTGCTATATCCAGATTAAAAACATAACCTACATGGTAGAGTGGACTTTCTCTTCTCTCCTCCCTCCTTAATCCCCACCACTCAAATTCCCCAAACACTTCTCACTTACTTCAAAGAAATAATTATTCTGAAATAAAATATATTGTTCTTCAATTAGGAATAAAAGGATTATAATAATTTGAATGAGGTAAAGACACTGGTAAATAACTCATGATTAGGTGTCTACCACTCCAGTCTTCTCTAAGCATAAGGATTTCCTATAAGGGTGCCGGAGTGGATACTCCTTATTGAGAACAGTTATAGCAGTGAGTTATTAAAGATGTTGAAGACTATATCGAAGGCCTTTAAAGTAAGGCCCAGCCTTACCAGTCTTCGCTCAGGGTTCAAAAGAGATGTTACAGTAAGCGGAGGAACTCCAAGGGCTGTAGAAAACTTCTCACAGAACATTCTTTCTACGCTTGGGCTTTTTATGGTTCTCTCTTTCTTCTCCTGCCTCTAATATAATTCTTCTGACCTAATTATCTACATTTTTTAGCTCTAATTCTCTGTCTCAATTCTAATTCCAATTTCAATTCACTTCTCTGTCTTCTTCTTCTTCTTCTTCTTCTTCTTCTTCTTCTTCTTCTTCTTCTTCTTCTTCTTCTTCTTCTTCTCCCCCTCCTCCTCCTTCTTCCCTTCCTCCTCCTCCCCCTCCTCCTGCTCTTTCTTCTTCTCTTTCTCCTCCTCCTCCTTTATTTTCCTATATTCTTATTCTTTTACATTTCTGCTGATTTCTGCCAGCTTCTGCCTCAAGGTACTACTTCTTTTGTCTTGTCTCCCAAAAATCTCTCTTGCCTCATGGGTTTAAAGCAAAAGGAGTTACAAGAATAGCTCTCACTGGTCAGAAACACATTCCTAGGCTAAGTGATGGTGATGAGGGCAAAGCAATTGCCGTGGCAATATAAGGGTCCAAGGTTGCAGAAGTGAGACTGTGACCAGAGGGCAGGGTGCAGTGAGATAAGCTTTGAGATATAGGTCTTTAGTTAAAAGACTGGCAAGCAAAGAATAGGCATACTTTAAGGTTAATGTGAGGTTAGCTTGGGACAGAAGCTTCCTATCTGCTGGCAGAGTGAATCCAGGACACTCATGTTCTCTATCTCTCTGAGAGCTAAAGCTCAACAACTTCAGACATGCCCTAATTCTTGTCCTTGGGCATCTGTGAATGTCTCAATAGAGGTCTCTTTGCTGGATACCAATACTGACCAACTGTCTGCCAAGGAAGATAATTGCAGGAGGGAGGACATTTAACTTTGTACCACAAAGACCTGGTTAAGGGAGTAAGGGTATTGATTGTAGTTTTTTCTTGTTCATATCACATATTGTTGTGAGAGTCATCCAATGTACCAATGCATAGGGAAAATTGTGCCCAATAATTGATTAATACATCACCGGAGGGAGAGCTATGGCTTCACAGGGAATTTACAGTAAGGACATTGATTATTCATAAAGCAAATACTCCTACCCCCCTGCCCTGCCTGTGGACCTCCTCCATTGGAATGTGTGATCCCGGTGGGTGAGCTTTGTGATTTGTCAGCTAAGTAAGCGTAATCCTATAAACCGCAGAAGACTAGACAGACATCTCCACTTTGCATCTGTACAACAGACGGTTCTTCTTGAGCAGCTTGCTGTAAAGACTTCTACGCTATGTTTCCTTGAGCTGCACACACACCGGCCTAGGACTGAGACCCAGGAAACTATACTTTTTGAGCCCAGAGAAAGGAACATCCTGACAACGCATTTCATCCTGCCCTTGTGGTCTGATCACTAGGGATGCTTCTGACAGAGGTGTGGGCGGTCCCCAGTCCCCCCAACCCTAGCCCAGCCTGGTGCTCCCTTAGTTTCTGCTACTCTTTTCTCTCCTCTCCCTTTAAAGCCACAGTCAGGACAGATGCGCCATCAGCCAGTCATTCTCCATGCTGGATTGTTGGTTAGCCCCTCTGGCTGTGTCTCTCTAGTTTGAGAATGGGAGGTTTTGTCCCCTACTGAGGATCTTTTAGAGGTTTCTTTGGAGGTAAAGAAAGCTTGAGGTGGGGTTGGGGGTGGGGTGGGTGGTGTTTGTCAGGGGCTCAGAAGTCTCTGGAAGGAAGCTGCCCTTTTTCTCCACACTCAAGTAATCAAGAAGAATGGACATTAGATTCACTGATTTTCTTCTCTTTTGATATCAGTTTGGCAGTTTAGATTCATCCCCCTTCCCCAGCTTGCTCTAGAGCTGGGTGAGGCGGTACAACCAGAGCTCTGTGCCGCCAGGAGACCTGGCCTAAAAACACCAGCTCTCTCCCCTGGGAAGGAGACTGAGTTCCTGAAGCCTCTTTCCTAGTCTGGCCAATGGCTGTCACTATTCCCTCCTGAGACGGATGGGATGAAGTGTGTGACAGGTGTGTGAAGCCTGGAAGCTTCGATGCTTCCCTGGGGTGCAGGTATTACTGTCCCTCTTTAGTCTGGAAGCACGCCTGGAATAAATCCCCAGTTGCTACTTCAAAACATGACATGGGAACTGAATTTTCCTCGCATATGAACCCTCTTTAAGCTAGAGGCACTAAACATCTCATCGATAATAATAAAACAGATCTCCTCTCATTGGCATAAATGACAAGGACTCCTGCCACAGTTCTCTGCTTTGGGACAAAATGTCTTCAGTCCAATAGCTTATAAGGCAGACTTTTCCACAGCAACTATGGGAATCGATGTGGAACTAAGATGCCAAAAATGTTTATTTACCATGCCTGAAGGTGCAGGCTAAGAAATCAAGCCACTGCCCGCAGACATTAGAGACCCTGGAGGGGATGAAGAGGCAGCAGCTGTCCCTGGCTCCTCATGGCCCATCATCTGCTCCACCACCAAGTTCTCAAAGCCTAGAGGACTCGGGGAGTGGGGGGGGGAGAGCTCTGGAGTCTGGCACTGCCGCTGGCCTTCTGAGTGACTATGTCCTCTCATCCTCAGCCCAGCATCAGCGGTGTGGATCTGGATAAGTTCCGGGAGATTCTGCTTCGCCATTGTGATGTCAACAAGGATGGAAAGATCCAGAAGTCTGAGCTGGCACTGTGTCTCGGGCTGAAAATAAACCCCTGATCCCTGACTGCTCTGCTCTCTGCTTATGTGTGTGGGCTCTTGTGAGAAGTGTGCGCTTGGCTCACACTTAGACCTAGTCAGCAAACCTTTTCATTGACGCTGCGGTACTCTTGGGCAGAGGGGGGACCCTTGGGTGTTGTTTCCAGAGGCAGCCATGATTCAGTCCCATAGCAAGCCCCCATGCAGCCTCTTCTGTCTTCCCTCCTTGACCTGTCTCCTCCAGAGCCTCAGTTTACTTGCTGATCGACTCTGTTCAACCTTCCCCTTCACCTGGTGGATAGGGGTAGCCCAACCAACCACCTTTTGTTTGTCCTTGAGCTTTCTGCTCAGTTGGATTGTTACCTGTGCTGTGCTGTCGCTTCTACAAATCTGTCTTCACGTGGGAAGACATCTGTAGTCAAGAATAAAGATGTGTTTGAGTCATAAGCTTTGTGATGTCCTGATGGTTTGGTGGGAGACTTAGCTGGGGGTGAGGGCCATGATCCTCAAGCAGCTTTTAGCTGCAGGGAGCTAGCAGCTGCCCCAAATCAATCTTTTTAATTGGATGGAAAGAGCAGAGTGTTGTGGACCAATGGAACCAAATCGAAGACCTGGATATCAATCCATACACCTACAGACACCTGATTTTTGACAGAGAAGCAAAAAATATAGAATGGAAAGAAGAAAGCATATTTAACTTGTTTATTTACATTTTCACAGACACTTGACTGGCTTGAAGCTGCAGTTCCCTGAGGTTACTTTTTTGTAGCTTGGCTGTCAGGTCAGGCTAGGCTCCTACTGAAGCTGGGCGGGGTGGCTGGGCACAAGCCATGCTCCCTCTGCTGTTTGGCTGTCCTGCCTGGGTACTTGGGACCAGGTGGCCAGTCCCTGGCAGGAGGGGACTCATCCTAAAGAGGTACTTGTGCGAGTGGAGCCCTAGTGGAGCTATGGATCCCAGAGAATGAAGCTTTCCACTGGGGTCCAGGCGACAGAAAGGAAAGCCTGAAGCCCTGGTCCTAGCTCGAGGAGGGGCTGGCTCCTGAGAGTCGACACACTGCTGATAACTTACCATAGGTGGATTTCCTTCTGCTCATCACCTTTGTCAGTTTCTGCTTCCTAATGAATTTTAAGAAGTGGTAGTTTTATGAATGGAAGAGCCTCCTGTAACACTGGGGCAAAGGTAGATTGGGCCAAACAAATGAATTCAGTATTTTAAAAGTTCTTGGCTATTTCTAGCCTAAAGAGACTTGTGAAAGGAAGCAAAACAAACCAAAAACAATGTAAATGGGAAGAAAAATATCTGATCTTAGAATTAGGAGCCCTGGTTTAATTTTGAGCTCACGATACACCAGTTCTATAATAGTAGTACATCTCATTCACGTATACTCATGCAAATCTTTTAAAGAGCAATTTCTTCATTTTTTTTTAAAAACAGTGGTTCCATTGATGAAGCATCTGCTGCACAAGCACAGGGCCCTGAGTTTAGATCTCCAGCATCATAAAAGCCAGCCCAAGAGGCCCCTCCTATGATCTCCATGCTGGGGAGGTAGAGACAGGGGCATCTGTAGTGGTTGCTGGCCAGCCAACCTAGCTTAATGGGAGAGCTCCAGGTAGAGTGAGAAATCATGTTCAAAAACTAAGGTGGAGAGGATAGAGGAAGAAATCGGACACTGACCTCTGGCCTCCATGTGCACATGCACCCACATGTGCACATGCACAGAAATAGTAAAGCACGGTGGTTAGCGGGAAGACAGCATTCTCTGCCAAGCTGATGTGTGAGCGTTCCAGGAATACCATGCTCTGCACAAACATCAGGTGAGACAGTGGCAGTGACAAGGAGAGTAGCTGTGATCTACTACCATCCTGCGCCTTTGCCCTATCCCTGCTTCCAAAACCCTATGGTGTTCTCCCCTGCAGTTGCTAGTCTAGAAGTTCTTCACGGGGCTGAACATCAAATGTTCTTCTTAGCTATGAGGTATTACTGTATATGTCTGTGGTCACCTCAATTTATTTATCTTTGAGGCACATTTCTTTTTTTCTTTTTCTTTTTCTTTTTCTTTTCTTTTTTGAAATTTTTGGTTTTTGGCTCAGAGGTTAAGAGCACATACTTATGTTCTACCAAAGAGTTCCATTCTCATCATCCACATCCGGTGCTTCATGCCAGCCTTTAACATCCAGAGAATCGAGAGAGAGAGAGAGAGAGAGAGAGAGAGAGAGAGAGAGAGAGAAGAGAAGAGAAGAGAAGAGAAGAGAAGAGAAGAGAAGAGAAGAGAA